CATCTGCAAACTTGCTGAGGGTGCAATCCACACCATCCTTCAGATCATTAATGAAGATATTGAACAAAACCGGCCCGAGGACCGACCCTTGGGGCACTCCACTTGATACTGCCTGCCAACTAGACATGGAGCCATTGATCACTACCTGTTGAGCCCGACAATCTAGCCAGCTTTCCGTCCGCCTTATCGTCCATTCATCCAGCCCATACTTCTTTAACTTGCTGACAAGAATATTGTGGGAGACCGTGCCAAAAGCTTTGCTAAAGTCAAGGAACAACACGTCCACCGCTTTCCCCTCATCCACAGAGCCAGTTATCTCATCATAGAAGGCAATTAGATTAGTCAGGCATGACTTGCCCTTGGTGAATCCATGCTGACTGTTCCTGATCACCTTCCTCTCCTCCAAATGCTTCATAATGGATTCCTTGAGGACCTGCTCCATGATTTTTCCAGGGACTGAGGTGAGGCTGACTGGCCTGTAGTACCCAGGATCCTCCTCCTTCCCTTTTTTAAAGATGGGCACTACATTAGCCTTTTTCCAGTCGTCCGGGACGTCCCCCGATCACCATGAGTTTTCAGATAATGGCCAATGGCTCTGCAATCACATCCGCCAACTCCTTTAGCACCCTCGGGTGCAGCGCATCCGGCCCCATGGACTTGTGCTCGTCCAGCTTTTCTAAATAGTCCCGAACCACTTCTTTCTTCACAGAGGGCTGGTCACCCCCTCCCCATGCTGTGCTGCCCAGCGCAGTAGTGTGGGAGCTGACCTTGTTCGTGAAGACGGAGGCAAAAAAAGTGTTGAGTACATTAGCTTTTTCCACATCCTCTGTCACTAGGTTGCCTCCCTCATTCACTAAGGGGCCCACACTTTCCTTGACTTTCTTCTTGTTGCTAACATACCTGAAGAAACCCTTCTTGTTACTCTTAACATCTCTTGCTAGCTGCGTCTCCAGGTGTGATTTGGCCTTCCTGATTTCACTCCTGCATGCCCGAGCAATATTTTTATACTTTTCCCTGGTCATTTGTCCAATCTTCCACTTCTTGTAAGCTTCTTTTTTGTGTTTAAGATCAGCAAGGATTTCACTGTTAAGCCAAGCTGGTTGCCTGCCATATTTACTATTCTTTTTACACATCGGGATGGTTTGTCCCTGTAACCTCAATAATAACCTTTCCGCAGTCCTCCTTCTGAGGAAGTCGTTTCCCATTTTGGATGAGAAGATTTCCTTTCAAAGCAGCTCAGAAGCTGCAGCCGCATCTTTCTAAAAAGCCAGGGAGGGCCTATCCACACTGCACCAGAGCATGTCTGAACCTGGTTACACAAACATGGCTGGTTGTCCACACAGCATTACTCCAGCAAGCAAAATTGTGTCTCAGCACTGCATGTCTTCACTTACCATGCTTCAAAACAGTCTTCGCAACAGTGCACTGTGCTTGCGCATACTTGCAAGCTCAGGTTACCGTGATAATGTTTACTGAATTTCACTTGGATTCCATCAATATCAGGAAGTGTTCTATAATTTGGAATGGTCTCTATGGATTATCTCCTACAACTCCATAACATTACCTTTGCCCAACAACCTAGATAAACTTATAATTTAATTGTATCCATAGGTGAAAAAAAAACAAACAAAACGAGCATTCTTTACGACAGCACAAAAAGAGACAGCCCAGAACTGGGATCCACAACACTCAAAATGCAGCTCTAAAAATCCACAAGAAAAGTCATTGTTCAGTCCACAGAGGTCTGTGCTGAGCTTTCACAGACCTGCAAGTTGTTTCTCTATATCCTCACTATCTGCCTACATAGCACCCCCATGGACCTGAAATTGGCAAGGACAGTTAATATGTGAGGAATGGGTATTAGTGAGTGTATGGGCTACAGAATAGCCTCCCGTGGCACTGATGGGGTTAAAGATAGGATGCATCACTGGAGCTCTGGGAGTGAAAGACGAGAGGACTGCCCTCACCAGAAGCTGGTTACACCACCCACTGTATTTATGACCTGCTGGGCTGGGGTCTGAGGCATTTTGCACATACTGTATGTGGTTACTGTGTGCTACCCCACCATCTCTCCCACAAACCACACCAATTTCCCCCCCTGCCCCCCGCTGTATACTGAGGTGCTAATTCAGTGTCTGTAACAGACATAGATTCTTTTTTTCCCCTCCTCCCTTGTCTTGCTCCCAGGACTCATTCTCTCCCTTCCCTTGTGTAAGGGGTCCAGCTCCCATTAATGAAAAACAGTCCATCACGTCTATAAATTGCCCTTTCCACTTCCAAGGGCCTTCAGAGAGGAAATCACCCCAGAATCCGAACTGCTCTGTGTCTGCCCAGATTGAGGGGCTTGGCTGAGCCTCATGGAGCAGCACTCAAGGCACTGCTGAGTTTTGGAGATCTTCCTAGTTCTTTTCATCAGACCTCAAGGTAAGCAGCTCAAGGCACTGACCCCCATCCCAATGATCTCCGCTCCCTGCTGTGCCAGCCTGGCCATCCAGCAGCAGTGTTTCTCCAGGGAGCTATGCTTGGTGGGTGTGATACAGCTATAGGTGCTATGGGCCAAGCCTGCAGTTCTCAGTCCTTCTCAAAACAAAAGTCTCGTGGGGAGGGAGGGGGAAGAGGGTTTGGGGTTGTTTTTTTTTTGGTAACTTGAGTAAGGACTCCAGGATTTGGCTCCTTTTAAAGTAATGTTGATGATAGCTAGATCAGTTCCTACCCTCACTACCACACATAACATTCTGGCTATGTCTCCCAGTCATGAGTCTGCCACCAGATGGCAGACCTACCCAATAGTCAAGCACCCATCAAAGGTCCTACTTCCCGTCTCCTCCCCAAAATCCCAAACTTCAAACCGTCTCAAGATATACAAAACTATACTCGCCTCTGCCCTTTGGGGCCCTCTTCATTGGAGGCATTTTCTTCTTTTAGAGCGTAAACCTGGTTTTATAAGATTGCTGTAGAGACCTCCTGGACTGTGACGCTGGCAGATGACAGCATCACACCCCGCTGCAGATGCGTTTTTACACATGGAGGTAGCCACTGAGGAAAAGGCCATGGGATCACTCACCAGTTTCCTGGTGCAGATGGCTGCCCATGTAGAATGCTTCCTTGCCTGAGCCTGGTGCTACTGTCTGCAGGAGCAAGAAATGAAGACACTCAAGAGAGAGCGCACACACCAGAGAACGAACGAACACACAGGCTACTATTCCACTGTAAAAGAACACAGCAAGGCATGGCCAATATGGCTTCATCAAGGACTGATCAGAGATCTGGGGTATAATAGAAGCCTTCCTTGGAAGTGAGACAGAAGCAAAAGAGAATATAATCAGTTAATGCTGCAGAGAAAAGATAAAGGCAGGAAAAATGCAGAATTAGAGCAGCCAAAGAGGGTAAGGGTGTTTGTGTGGGTGAGGGTGTGTGTATCAGAAAGGGTATTACTAACATGGGGAAAGTCAGAAAATCAGAAATTAGGTCCATTACTAGTTGATGAGCAAGGATACCATCAATAAATGCTCTTTGATGGTTGTGATACCCAATGCCTCTCCAAATCTGTGCATGAGAAGGAAAATAAAAGGAGAGACATTTGAACAATTCAGAAGTAGTGAAGAGTTTGTGAACGCAGCTCCTGACAAACAGTATGACACACTTAGGAAATGGACCATGCACAAACCGGCAAGTCCAGAAATGTCCAACACTTGTAGTATTTTCAAAATACAGAAATTAAAATAAGTATAGAGCTTCGTGGCTCAGGATGATCACTAGCTAACTCCCTGCATGCATCTCCCCTTCCTTGTGCCTTCACTGACTGCTGGTGGCTTTGCCAATAGATAACGGTGGCCTAGTCACCGGATGGTGCACAGCCACATAACCTGCAATGCCAAGTTTTCCCACCCAACTAGTGGCCTTAAAAACCCATTTCCGCAGCCACCTCAATCTCCAAGCTTTCTCCAACCTGCTGAAACGGACGAAGTTCCTCTCCAGTGGATCCAATTCCCACAGCGAACCTGCCAACAGACTCAAAGAAGACACAATATTTAATTTGCATTAAATAAACCAGCCCTATTTAGATACATTTAGATTTGCACACAGAGCAATAGACAAAGAAAGTGAGTCCAGTGGATGGAGCACCAGCCTAGGAGTCAGAGGACCTGGCTTCTATTCCCAGCCCTGCCACTGACCTGCTGGGTGAGCATAGGCAAGTCACTTCACCCCTTCTGCCTCTGTTTCCTCTCCACCCTTTCTTTGTCCTGTCTATTTCGACTCTAAGCTCTTTGGGACAGGGACAGTCTCTCACTATGTGCATGTACAGTGCCCAGCACAACAGGGTCTATCTGTCACAGTTGGGGCCTCTAGGCGGTATTGTAATACAAATTACAGACATCCACTAACCTCCTGGTGATGTTGAAGGGACTCTCCCTTCCTCCCCCCGCTCACAAGGTGATAATCTGTCATCCCTCAGAATGCTTTGCTGAATGCGTCTGTTCCAATGGGTGTTTCCGTCTGGTGGTCTGAAGGCACAGGACTTGGAGGCTGAGGGGTTTTGGCTTTTACCACTAAGAAGTCAACTTCTTTTTTATTTTTAATTCATTTGAGAGGAAGACATCCTCTCTCAGATACTCCTGGGATGGAGGCCATGGGAAACCAGATTAAAAAAAACAATGCCCCCATCTAGTGCTCACTCAGCATCTTCCTCCTTGGGTAGCTCTCTTGACACACACAAAAATACCGAACTACTTTCCCTATCCCTCTGTGGGCTCATTCTACAACCCTACAGATATCCACACCCCTCGCTCCCAACTGCAAGTTTCCCATCAATCACACATACCAAGGTCGCACATTAACATCTGCTCCTAACCGACTCAATCTTGCTCGCTTCTGGTTCCTGGATTACTGGCATCTACTCAATTCTCCTCTTAAATTGTTCAAAGAGCCCCCCGGCCTGAAAACTGGCCAGTGCTGGAAGCCATATGGAATTCTACGTGACTGCGGAAAATAAAAACTGCACAACACTGGACATTTGTTTTCTAAATCAATACAATTTTTCAAATTTATTTTTTAAGAATTACTTCTAATATATCTTTCTCACAGAAGGAGGGTATAGGGAATGCTCTCATTCCATCTGTAAACACTGAAATACAGATCTGGGAAACCAGGGAAGAGACACAAAAAAGTGCATTTTACAAAATTCTCAACTAAAATATATTTTACATGTATTACATTTCAATTTAAATTCTACCGACTGCATTTTCAGTTTCAAAAAATATTTCCATATCTAATAGATTAAAAAAGCATGAAATATTCTCATTATGGATAAGACATTTTGATTCATTTACATGCTGTTTGCACAACAGCATAAGCAACCATGTGAGTCTTGAACAATGTTCTTGGCCTGAAGCAGATTCTGACGTAACATCAGAAGAGAGAGGATTTCTCCTCTCCGGACAGGCGTGACAGCACATCCCAGAACCTGGGTAAATACAATTTTTCCTCTCCCCTTTGGGCAAGTTGGATTTCTTTTCCCGTCCCTGGAAAGGAGATAGGACAGGTGAGGGGGTGGGAAGGGAGGAACCAGGAGAAGTAAGATTTTCAGCAAGTGACTGTGGTTTCTGAGGCTGGATAGTAAACGCTTTACTGACTTTGCAGTAGTGTGCAGATTTGAGTTAGTAGGAGGGCTTGAGAAACCCTGTCACGACATCAGTAAATAAAGCTACTCCTTTTGCAAAAGAGGATCCCAGACATCTTAGCATGGTCTGTCCCTGACCCCATTGATCCTACTCAGGATGGCTCTCCAAGGGGTCCCAAATCTGACTCAGGACATATCAGCTCGTCCATATAAGGGTTCCTATCATCAATCTGGGCTGTTTCCCCTGTATTAGTCCCACTGCTCCATTTTCCCTGTGCACCCCTTTTCACCATGTAGCCACAAAAACTACCTCTCACCATGGGACCAGAAGGGCAGGCAGCAGCTACAGAAACTACAATATTGCTCCACAAACACACCACTGTATACTATGAGGGAGCAGGAGCTGTACCGTCCTCCCATCTAGAACCAGTGAGCATCCCCTCTATGATGCTTCTCACTTGGCCAAGTGAGAGCCCTGAGGTTCCTCCTGACCTGCCCTGTTGCTGTAGTGAAATGCGCTCTGTAGTGCCAATGGCCTGACCTCCTTATTCCAAGTAACTGTTAAGGAAAACACAGACAATTACTTGACACCAACAGTACCTTGAGGTATAAGTGGGATTAGATGCTTAAATTATGGATCTGTAATCAGGTGCCTACTGTTAAACCTCTTGAAAATGAAGGCCTGGGAGTTTTTCTCTGGGGTGCACTGGCAGGGACTTTGGAATTTTTCATCATCCTCTGGAATATTGAGCAGGAATTGTCCACTGAGACCAGGTGAACATGTGCCACACTTCCAGGCATGGCCCTCATGGGCCTCAGACCTTCCCATCTTCTTTCGAGATCCTCTTGTTCTTCCATAAACATTCCCCTCTTTGGTATGTAGAGCAAATCTATGGATAACACCTGTACTAACAGAAACACAGGCTGCACTGTTTTCACTTAACGGAATTGAATGTGGTAGGGATATTTTCTCCAGGCCAGGTAGGCGTAGCCTCAGTGATCAGAGCAAGAGGGAAATCCCCTTGATTCCAGCTCCGTCAGTGTCCATGGTGAGTACAGGTAGTGCTACTTCCACTTAAAGGACAACAACGTTAAAGCAGTATGAACACTTCTATTGTTTAACACTAGTTCAGGCACCCCCAAAACTGAAAACACAGGTCCCTAGTTTAAATGAGTGACTCCAGCAGTCAGCAGGTACATGGATTGATACAGTGTTGATTCTCATTCTTTAAATTAGTGCAATCTACAAATGGATTCCCAGCTTTGTGTGACTGATTCAATGGACTCTGTTATGCTGTCCTTTGGTTTTCTTTAGAATTAACTTCAATAGTTTGTGTTAAGATAAACTAAAGTATCTCTAGGATCTATACACATAAGGCAAGAGGCAAAAGTATCTGTAGGAATCAGGTAGCATTTTTCAACAACGCACACCTCTCATTGGTCAGTTCCTTTCAGAAGCAACCAAGCCACCCCGGTGAGCATGTTCAGATGTCAGTATAAGTGGTAGGGGAGGAGGATGGAAGGCAGTACCAAAAGAGAGCACTGCTAATTTTCTCAGCAGTATGACCATGCCCAAGACCAAAACAATCATGTCAGGTGTCATTTTTAGGATGAAATAGCCAAAGGAAATATTTTTCATTTCTTCCCCTGCCTCTAGCTTACCCACCTATGGTGGAATGTGCGCATCTAGATTCTATATGGACTAAACTACAGCAAAGAAAACTGAACTTGGAAGGGAGAGAATAAACCATTTATACTGCTAGGGATAGCCTCTGATGTCAAGGAGGGCAAGGAGACAAGTATCCTGAAGAGAAGAAAAGCATGGCTTTCACCTACAGAGCAAACCTCGTGTGTTCCATATCTTACAACAGTACGTGTCTGCTGGAAGTGTGCCCTATTGGCCAAGGACCTCTGACAGACATGAAGCTTTCCATAAAGGCGTGAGGTAAGGCTTACTATCCCTCGCCCCGTTTTCTGCCTTGGAGCTGAAACAGAGTTCACGGCCTGCCTAAAGGCCCTAATCTGGGTAGTAAATCATAGACTGCAGAAAAACTGTATAGGGAAAAGGAGTCCCTCTCCCTTTACAAAGCAAAAACTATTCAATATGGCAGACAGCCACACTGCACCTGGCACAACTTCACGAGGAATTACTGGATTTTGAAGTAGCAGTGACATCAAGAATCCCCACACCCTGCCTTTTCTGCTGGGCAAGCATGGCTATCCTGTACCATGCAAATGAACCAGGCTTTGCCCTCTCTCTTCACATCAGGACATGAAAACCATGGACCTATCACAGCTTGACTCATACCTGCACCACAGCATCCCTCCTACATATTCTGACCACCCCCACCAATGATGGCTTTGGATTTAGTATACTGGCTTTTCTCCCCTGCAAAACCCCTCTCAATATATGCATCTCTATATACATATATAGATATAGATTTACATATGCAAGTACCTATATCTATATACATATATTTATTTATAGGTATATATTTTAATTTATCCTCTTTAATGAAGTGCTGTGCTTTGAACTGCTGGCCTTCCTTGACAGGGATCTGTTCCTGAATGCGGAAATCTTTTCAGTCTTTGAGGACAGAGTGCTTGGACGTTCCTTCTGGCCTGCAAGCAGTACTAGAAAAGTTGCTGAGCATGCATGGATGTCCCAGACAGTCAACCTGCCACTGGCTCTCTGGCGCCACTTATCATCACCATAGCTGGACTGAAGAGTTTTGCTACTGTGGATTCTTCAAGATGCGCCCATGTCGAAAATCATAGACATGGCGGCAGAGGAAAACCAGATCAGGATCAGTGTCCTCTGGCACCTTGCGATGTGGAGGGGTGGAATATTCTTCTGACGGAGGAACCATCATTGTTTTCCTGCCTGGGATCCCCTCGACACGACGCTTCGCCAAGGCACAAAATCTGCAATGTGATTAAATACAAAATGTCACAGGGAACCTTCATTTACTGCCTTCACTGCTCAAGCTTTCACTTTTCCTGCTAAGGTCTCCTGCTGGAAGAGACTATAATCTCTTTCTGCTCCTTAGGGTTACACCCATTATAGTATATTCCTGCCAGGCTACTGCACGAGTGGGGAGGATAAAGTTATGGATTCTGGAATAGAACTATCCTTTCTCCAAAAAGATCTAGAGGTCGGTTTACAAGTTATAACTACTCTGAGCTTTACCAAATAGCACAATAGTTTAGATTTCCTGGCTGGTAGATTCTGTACAGTTTTACAGTATGGAGGATTACAACAGCCAATCTGCATCATTTAACCACCTTTGCTTTATTTCTGTTGATCAGCACTGGAAAAAAATTATTGCTCAAATAAAGGTGATTAAGCAAGAACAGAAGCCAGGTCACAGAACACTCCATTCTCTGAGTCAACAAGGCCTTCTACTGGTCCTGCAGGATGACAAAACAAACTTAAATTAACGCATACTGGAGTTGGATACTCTGGAACAAGACCTGCCGTTTGTGAGCCTGGTGCAGGAGGAGGAATATGCCCTAGTGCATTATAGTACTTTAAAACAATGACTGGACATTTGCAGAAAAAAATGTGTGTGTATAAAATGATTCACCAGCCAGTCAACCTGATAATTATACCACAGTGTTTTAATTTATAAGCACTCATGGCAGAAGGCTCCTGGGCACCTTAAAAATATAAACATTTTAGCTTGAATGGAGAGAACGTGCACAAACAGAGCTGAGATCAGGAGCAGAACAAAGCATGCCACCCAAACACCAAGTAAAATAAAAAACCTTGAGCCTTGCCCAGTGGGATGACACAAACATTCAGTGGGGCGTGTTGAAAAGGACAGCATTCCTGGCCCTGCAGAGAAGGTCCTGCCTTCTGTACTTTCTCGTGTTTATTTATAGCGAAGCTGCTGTAAGAACCTCACTGAGCTCAGCTGTAGCAGCAGGACATAAACAGACAATACCTGACGTAGAAGAGCCCTCTTACATGAGGCTATCTGAGTATAGCCATAAAATAATGATACACTAGCTGCCTGTTCTGCAAGTGAGAAACCTATGGAATGTGGGTGTAAAACTTGTAGGCGAAGACTCCTGCACAGTAGCCAAGCTTGTTCTGCAACAGCTGCAGAGCTGGAGCGGTTTAAGGGCACAAGTGTGCACATACCAGTAATCCCGCCTAAAGATCAAAGGCTGGCATATCCATGCTAAGGTCGACATCAGGAAGAAAGCGCCTACATTTGAAATATTTTGAAGATTAAAACCAAACAAACAACTATTGACCGCTGATGAAATATGGGCTTCGGGGAGCAGATTGTGATTGAACACGATTCTCATGGTGAAAACTCTTCTCATTGTGCTTGGTACATACCCCAGAGACAGAGCTGCCACTGAAGCAGCAAAATCCTCCATCCACAGGTAAGATCTCCTTCCTATCTAGCTTGAGTTCAAACACTTACTTTGCAACGACTGTGGTAGCACTGAGATGGAATCACCATAAACAAAGCTTACGTAATTTTGGGCATCTGCTTACTAACCCAGCTGGTTGAACTCTCACCTGAATAGAGGCACTTAGGAATGGGGGAGGATATCTGCAAGATCTCAATGAAATGGATACCACAGATCATGCTACTTATCAGTTCTTCAAGTGGTTTCAAAGACACATTGTGCAACAGTGGTTATCTGAACAAGAATCCATATAGGAGGTTCTTCTGAGTCAGTGAATTCAGCTTTGCTGACCAGTTTGTGAAAACACCTTCCCACTGCCTTTGCTGGTGTCTTTAGACTCCCTGAGCATTCAAACCAGTTTAGCACAGGTCAGCAATGGACCGCTTGTACAGGGGGCAGAGAGGCACATTTCCAAGGAACACCGCCAACAGGTCCAGTTAGTACAAAATTTGTCAAGTTGGCTCCACTGTGCAGTAAAAATATCTCAGCATGTGGCCAGTGAGTCAGGAATAGCTGCTGTGGGTTCTGAAATGGGCAACCCCTCAGCATGCCGTAATTTATGAGGAAAGGCTGTATTCCAATCACAGCAGCTTCATGTCAGAGCTGATGCAACTTCACAAGTTCAAAGCAATTAGAGTAGGAACAAACCTGTCCTCTTTTGCTGGTGGTTTTTATCTGGACATACCAAGCACATTTGTAAGAACATCCTGTCTTTTTTTTTTCCAGGGACTCACTGTGTAAACAAGCTTTTCTTTACTACACTTTCATTCTATGGCTCACTTTAGCAAGTCCTTCTGAAAGGTAAGTTATACCAAAAGGAAAATGACAGAAAGTGGTCTTTCCAAATGATTTTAATTCCCCAATTACTCAGAGTGGATTTATTCCACTTTTATTGAAGTTCCATAAAGGCAATTCTAAATAGTTCAGCGCTGCTCTAGTTGCTTTAATGTAACATCTGCCTGCCTCTGTCAAGCCATGCCACAGGGAAATGGGACTCCTGTCCAGAAGTTTCAAACCAGTGCAGAAGCCCAATGGTATATTATTCCCAGTCACTCATGTCTGCTTTTTCGGGGAGTGAGTTATTAAAAAAGCAGCACGTAGTTCAGAACCAGGATGTACATGGTGTGCAAAAGAACTTTTGTAAAAATCAGTATAAGTTTAATTAAAAATAACTATTGTAGGAAATGACCTTCATTCTTAGAAACCCAGTGAAGCATTGGAACACAGCATAAGGAACAGTGTGAAACTGGCTAAGCTAGTTTTACTGCCCAAGATGAGCAAAGCATACAATGCAACCAACAGCACACAGTAAAAGCACATAAAATAGGATACATTTTTAAAGGGTTATTTTCCATTTTAATAACCTATGGTCTGGACTTTAGAGCTAATTTCTATTTTGCCACTGTTACTTTAAATGGTGCAATCTGTTAGAAAATACAGATACTCTGAAGTCCTTGGTCACTCAGACTGATTAAAAATAGCAAAAATTAAACCGTAAGGTCAGTTAAATACTTCTCTAGTCACTATATTGGGTGACCTAATTACCAAAACACCTGATACTACAGGCACGTCTACAAAGAGTGGTAAGGACAGCAAACACATTAGGCATATGCATTTTAGTTGAACTTGGAGCGCACATGTGCATGTGGAGGAACTGTACAATATTGTATGGGTTTCTCTATTACACTCCAGTGGTGTAACTGAAACGTTACCGTGTTTTACTGTGTCTACTGATGAGCATGTTCCGTAGTAGAAAGGTCATGCATGTGTAAACACTTATAAACCGCTTGAAGTGTTTATAAAACACAAAGCAAAGAGATACCCAAAGAGCTAGAGCATGACAAACACTCCTAGATTAGCACAGCCCTCTCATTCACTAAACGTACTGCAAGTTTACCTAGGAGAGGTAGGCTGCAAAGCACACGCAGTTCTGCTGAATGAGGTCAGGTAACAGAAATGTTGAAAAGAACTGGTGATACAGAGATAACTTGCTGTTGCTTTTGCAACTTAAGAGCACCACCTACCTGCAGTACTCTGCAAAGGTCAGAACATAGCACTTTTCCTCAATGCAGGCAATACTGTTTTCATCCTGATGTCGGGATGCAAAGATCTCGTTCTGCAAACGGACATACAATGGGGACAGTCACTCAACTGGGCAGGAGCGCTTGGAGAGACAAAGCAGTCCTAGGTATACTCTCCTTAAAGAGGAGAAAGGCTATGCACACATGCAACAACACGCTTCTTAAAGAGAAAGCACAACCCCCTACAAGTCAGATGTTGCAATTAACCCAAACAATTTACAGTTACAATTTTATAGCCTAATTGTTTTAGTGACCAAAAGAACATTTAACATTTGACCAAAATGTTATAGCTTTCCCATCACATAAACTCACCACCATTCTACTTTATATTGTCAGGTCTCCACATGTATTGCAAATATCACTGTTCAGTAAGACAGCTGCCACCATCAGGCAGCTCAGAGATACTGCTTATAACCAAATCTCTCATTTCAAATGCAATTGAGAGGCTGTGACTTATATTGTGATAAGTGTTTCTCACCAGGTGACCTTTCAGAATGCTGCATTGAGCAATATGAAGGCAGCTTTTTCAAAAAATGCTCTTCCAATACCAGACTCAGCAAGAAGACAGCTCAGAGGGGAAAATGTCCTCTAATGTCTGTCAGGGAAGATACTACCACACAAGGCCCAAGATGCAAAGAAATCCAAAGTAAAGACAGAATTTTTCACCCCATCCAATCCCAGTGTCAGACCTCTAGAACTGCATGTGGGAAGACTGGAGAAATTGCATGGCAAAGAAGGAACCTTCTTACAATCCCCCCCTTTGTTTAGCAACTTAGGCAGAAGGCAGGAGCTCTCTTCCTCCCCCATTTCCAATACCTTGGGGGACAGTCTCAGTTTTCTCTTCCCTGCGCTGGAAATCTTTTCTGATTCATTTTCACAAATAAATTATATGAATGGAGTATGAATGGTATTTAGCCAACCTCTCCCACTAGCCTCTAAATTACTGTAGTGATCAGTCTCAGACTAAATAAATTGTCCCCTTTTTTTCTCCAACTCTCCCCCAGCAACTGAAAGAGCTATTCTAAGTGATGAAGAAATGGCAGTAGCCTCTTCTCCCCAGTTTGAGTCTCGAAAGGGTGCATCTGAAGCAGCTAGGGAGGGGTGGACAAGTGCTGCCACTGGGCATAGGCCAACCCAGCTGGAGCTAAATTAGTGAGTATTAGGTGTGGCAATCAGAAGCAAAGAGGATCTGGGGTAATAAGGGTGCTGTTGTGTAAGTGCCTGGAAGCAGCAGCCAGGAATGTGCTTCAGGGTTAGTTTCGCCTGGAGTCCTAGGGAAGCAGGGTAGGTGGAGGACAGGCTTCACTACAGCCTCAGGAGCAGGGTCAGAGTCTGGGAACGTGATCAACAACTAGACAAGCAACAAAAAACTAACCAACAAACAAACCCCAACCCGTAGAGGTGTGTGAATGTTTTGGTTTCCTCCTTGCATCAAGTTTACCTGAGTCATCCTTGGCAGGCCTATTCTACCTACTCAGCCCAGTGGCAGCTTCTCCTTTTAAAGCAGTTTTTGTATAGCAAGACAGGTGTGGGAGGAGGAAAATGAGGTAGTTCCTCCCTAACCCAACTTCTTGCTCTCTACGCACTAAAATGCAGTTAGATAACCTCAGATTTCATTTGTGGACTAAAATGTCACAAGGTACCAAACTGGTTTCCAAAAGAAAATTGGGGATTCTACATGTGGCATGCACAACTACTGAATGGAATTTAAAAACAGCACATTGTGGACTTTTTGTTGGATGGAAAAACGGCAGTAACTCATTCCTCTCTAATCTCTGTGCTCTTTTGGTTTAAAAATGTACCTTTCCCCCTCCATGCAAAACCAAGCAAAGCAACAGGCCTGGGTTTGAAGACATACTGGGTCACAAGTTTTACTTTTAAAAGTGAACCCTTTGTGCAGAAGGAGCACAGTATCCTTCTTAAGTCTGTTTTTAACCCTCCTAATAAATCCACCCTTTTCTGCCCTATACAGATTTACTTTCACATTATGCAAAAAGGGAACAGGAGATTTGGTCTAGTATGTCTAATTTCAGGCCAGAGGGACTGGACTGATTCCCTAAAAGAGGAGTTTTTAATAGAAAGTCAATTCAATTCATAGATTTAAGGAAAGAAGGGACCCATTCAGATCACCTAAGTCGGATGTCCCACATAACACAGGCCAGAGATTCTCACCCAGTAATTCCTGCATCGAGCTCATAACTTCTGGTTGAACCAAAGTCTATCTTTTTGAAAGACATTCAGTCTTGATTTAATACAAAACACAGCATTTTCTGATTCCCAACACAGTGCACCTTCCCCTAGCTAAAGTCAAATAGCCTCTTTTATAAAGTGGCATAGGACTGTTTTCAGACCAGAGAAAATAGTAAATTTTAAAGCAAAGAAGGTCCTGTGAAAGGTACAGATACTTCTGTTACCACCCATCCTTGTAACTCACAGCATTAGATTGCTTGTGTCCTACGTGAAACACACTGGTTTTACCCATTCAACACAAAAATATGGCAGCATCTGTGGAGCAGCCAGGAGACCAGTGTGACAAGGATCCTGTCTCTATGTGTTAAGAAGGGCTAAGCATGAATGCTGAGCAGGGATGTTCATTCCACTCCCATCTCCCTGGAATAGAGTGGATCCTTGCCAAATATCCCCTAACCATCCCAACTAGGTACTTGGGATTGCTCACCTGATGCATGCTGGGATTGCGACCTCCCTGAGTGTGCTCCGGTCTGTAATACCACAGGAGACTCATCATTAGCTCCCCTGGAAGGAGACAAGAGACATTTTGAAGTCAGTGATGAAGACACGCATTAAGGAGTGTCACCATCCAGTTTCAGCTCTCCTGTTTCATCCATCAGCCCTTGTATTTCCATAGCTCTCACCTAACTGCAGCTATACAGTGATAAATATTTGATGTTGAGCTAAGTTTCCTTTTGTTATAGCAATTGACTAGGTAAAACAAGTGGTGTCACTATTCCATTGTACCCTCACCACCTAATAACTATTCACAGTCCCAGATGAAGAGGTCACTAGTCAACAAAGCCAAACTGTTTTATTCAAATATAAAATAGCAGCTGAACTGGGATTTGTCAAGTACACGGGTCCAAGGTTTAGGACTTGCAATATTTAGTCCTGGACAAATGCAAAAAGAGCACTACCATGGTACCAGCAGAGGCCTTACCATCTTAAGTTTTGCTATTTCACAAGCTGTCAGGGGTATGACTTGCTCTGTACCATTTGGCATACTAAGCTTCCAACTTAGACAAAGAATTAGGCTCTAGCCCTGGAGACCTGTCAGATATGGAATCTTACAATCAAAATCACACTATTCCAATTACCATTCAGCTTGTACCTATTACATGATTTTCAGTGCTAATATCAAGAACTTCTGCAGCTACAAATCAATGCTTCATCTCCCAGATTACAAACTGTTTAGAATATTTGCACAATTAGTGGTTCATGAGATACCTGCTCCTACTAAATCATGTGGGAGAAATTGTTGCAAAGATCTTTAGTTGGTAGATCTATACAGATGCTTTCAGGACAATTACTGATTCTGAGTTAATGACTAAAAAGATGAATTTTCAGTTCCTGTAGCAGAGTTCACCATGCACAGCTATAGGGCTCTGATTACCTAGCTCCTTCCCTTTATCACCCAAACCGGTAGTGGTGAGTTATTCTGGCAAATTAGCGTCCGCTACTCAATTCTGCCATTAACCCATTTCCACTCAGTTCTTTGGGATTTGACGGACAGAGGGTGAACATAATGTACTCTGGCTTTCTGCCCAGTACCTGTTTTTGGGTCTTCCCACAGCGCCGATATCTTTGCCACATAAGGCATAGATTTCTTTCGCGGTCCTGATTTCAAAAGAACTGTATCTCGTACCCGGATAATTTCCCCATCTCTCTCCACAGCCTGGTAGCTCTTACGAACAGCTGGCTCTGGCTCATTCTATAGTGTTGGCAGGGGAAAGAGAGGCAAAAAGTTAGGCTAGGAAATACTTTAGAACAACTAATCCAAGCTGCCTTTAATCGTCCTGGTCTTGATTAAAACAGTTCACTAAAAACCCTGTCTGAAGTGGTGCACCTTGGCTGCAAGAGCTCCCAGAGAGAAGTCACATAGCACAAATCCACCCATAGCATCTCTATATCCAGAGGGCAAATTTGAAAAGTGGGTGTGAACTATTTGCTAATGAACCTAGAAAAAAAAGCCACAGAACATTCTCCTGGGTTCAGGAATCAAGTGTCTTCAGATCAGGTATGGCCACCAGTCTGATGTTCAGAAGGGCTATGGAGAAAACGTAATGCTACTGCTTCGGTACAGTAGATTGCAGAATCTTCACCACGCCAGTTTAAGGATCAGTCTTAGTCTAAAAGGAAAAAGTAGTACTTTGAAACCGTCTCCCCCATTGTATTTTAAATTAATCAAAAGTGAGCATTCCTATACCTGTGCGCACACAAACCTGCTTTCAGGTAAGTGTTCTTCTGACCACAAATTTTTAATATTACCAACCTAGATATTGTAGGTTTCCAGCTGCTTATGCTACTGATGCAATTGGAGACTAAATCTGTTGTTTGTTTTGAAATATAATAGTTATGCTTCCTAAGAGACTGTTAAAAACTATTTGTAAGAATGCAACAACCTGTAATATGTCCTCTTGAAAATACAGGCAAAGTGAAATCCACTTTACTAACGAAGTGAGGTCAAGGGGTTGTGACAACACAAATTGGGCTGGTGCAAAAACATTTGGGCTGAGTTATTTGTTTCTTGGCTTCTCATTCTTCTTCCAGCACTACAGCAGCACATGCCCTTGTCCCCAGCATGACAAATGAGCAAAGAAAAAGCCTAAAAGGTGAAGGTTGCTTTTTTGCTCTGTTCTCATCTGACCTCTTGGGCATGAGGAACAAGAGTAACAGGCTCTGCCTCTATGGATACATCTACAGAACAAAACAAAACCCAAAGCCGACATTCCCACTCAGTCTGGAGCTCGGGCTCTGAAACTCAGCAAGGTGGTTGGTCTCAGAGGCCAAGCTCCAGCCCTAGTGGGAATGTCTACACAGCTATTTTTAGCTCTGCAGTGCATGCCAGAGTGTGTAGACCTAGGTGCTGAGACTCTGCCACAGGGTTGTTTTTTTGCAGTGTAGATATACCCTCTGAGTTAAGAGCCACCTATTCTGCCCCAAGAAATGGGATAGTGTCCTTCAGATTTTTTCTTTCTTCCAAATTTGTGTGTACACTTTGATATTATGGATAAAATGAAACCGCAGAGCAGGGTAACCTCTGATGCAGCAGAGTTGCCTCACTGGGACAAATCTCTACTCCTACAGGCTCAGAGATCTGTTGAAGGGGGAAGCCTGGTTGGGAGAAGAACCCCCATGGAGAAGAACAGCTGGCTAGGCCCTATAAATAGGGCATAAAAGATGTGGGCTGGTGGGGCCCCCATTGGACTGACTTTGTGTCCTTCCCAAGGCAACAGAGGGGAATTATTGCTGGAGCTACAGGCACCACCAATGCCTGACGAGACAAGCTCAAGCAGCTTGGCAGTTGCTATTTTTGCCTTAGAATTGCCCTTAGATTGCTGCTTCCTCTACTCCCTGTAGTGGGGCTAGAAGGTACCACTTGCCACTTCCCTGCTGGGGTTCACCGCTTGCATGATCCAGCACCTGTGTCCTGGCTTACAGGAGGCAGCTGTCCCTCTCTGACTACAAACCCAGCGGCACTCGTTCTCAATTATCTGGGAAGAGGAGCAGGAGAAGCATTCCCTTTGAATCCTAAACTCTGCAGCATTGCTGCATGTAGCTGCATCTTCAGAGACAATTCCATCTCAGAGGTAGATGAAGCAACCCCAGTTTACAGATTACACTGTATTTTGGTAATAGCAACATATATATATATATATTTTCCTTTTAGGCTTTTTCTCTGCTTGCCTGTCATGCCAGATGCCAGGGCAGACCAGGGCATGTGCTGCTGCAGTACCGGAGAAAGAACGAGAAGCCAACAGTCAAGTGGCTCAGCCCCAAAGCCCAGCAAAAATGTTTTACACCAATCCAATTGTTCCCTTGTTAAAGAAATGCTGGATGACATCCAGTGAGATCGTGCTGTTACAGAGGTAAAAGCAGGAGTGTCACTCTGGAGAATGCTCTTATACCTGCAGGCAAGTCTACCTAACCTGAAATCCTGCAACCTCCCGTCCTTGTCCCTACAGGATCTCAGTTTACTGTGCAGCATGCTTGGAGGCATACATAGGAAAGCAGAATTTTTCCAGCACTTACCACAACATACACGGCCTTTTCGCAGGCTGCACCCACGGGTATCCAGCCATTGGTTGCTCTCCTCCTGCTGATGCGCTGCTGCTTTGGATGAGAGTGACCTCCTGCTGCTTTGCTATCACAGGCATGTAAACAGCCAGCAGTATTTCGAAGACCAGATTTGGAGCCACTGGGGGGCTTGGAGCTCTGTGGACACTCTCGGGCCATGGTCTGGGGTTCCGAGTTGGGGGTCTGCAAGTGAGGAACTGGTTCTGCAGCTGGTGGCACACTGGGCACAGGACATCCTGAGAGTGGGTGGGCAGGTGATGCAGGGTGCCCTGCCACAGGGATCGTGAGGCTCAGCTGGTCCAGAGATTTGCAACTTTCTAACAAGAGGGGGAGAGGGGGAGAGTGATATATTTGTACTGCAGTTTCTTGATAACGACTAAATTAGCAGGATGATCCCAAGCTAAGCAATACTTTCCTAAGGAATTCTCTTTATTGCACTACTAGTAGTGGACAATACTTCTATTTAAGCATGGACCTCCTGTACTAGGAAACATTTTGTACTACTGCTCGATTCTAAAAGCAATGACACTTGAGTATGCGGCTTTGAAAATGCACTGAAGTACAACCTCACTATGACAAACCCATTTGATATGCCCCTCGCTAGTGCCAGCCTCTCATGTACAAAGGGCTGGGTTAGCACCCTTCCAGCCTGTCAACATACACGGAAAGGTGAGTAGCAAAAGGGCTTCCTGTGTGAGAGAAGTGAGAACTCGCAAAGGACTAAACTATATATTAACCATCTGTCAGGGATGGTCTACACGTACTCAACCGTGCCTCAGCACGGGGTGGTGGACTAGATGACCTCTTGGGGTCCCTTTTGGCCTTACATATCTATCCCCCCATACTAACCCAAAAGCCCAATTTCCTTCAAGGTGCCAGCACAGGCACTAAGTTTAGTCAGTGAAAGTGAAGAGCTTTCTCTGATGAGATCCAGACCAATGATAAAACATGGGGCCGAACTTGAAACGAAGCATATGCTGTTACCTTTAGGACAGCCCTATATCCCAGAAGCAGACATATTTACTACCATAGGCTAGCAAGTCAGCTGACAAAGCCTTCCAAAGACATCCCAAAGCATTTTACAATGATAATACACATCCAAAATTTCCAGTGCCCGAAGCGTTCAATCCATGAAATAAGCCCGAGTAAAAAAAGAAAGAAGCTTAGATCTGAAGAAGTCTAGTGACACAGCATTATCAATTCCGGCAAGGAGGGAGCCCCCAGCTTAACAAACAGCCCAATACATAAGAAAATCCCCATGCTTCATAAATCTGAAAGCATGCATCCTGGAAATGCCAACAGGGCAGCTTCAGGCAATCTCAGACAGCACTAAGGTTCACAAAGACGGCTGCTTTGATACATCTGCAGGACCCCAAGTGCGCACCGCCTTAAAAATAAAAGCAGTTTAAGAGAATCAGCGTAATAACTGATTCAATTTACAGTGAAGCATGGCTGAGGCTGCTCCAGACAGTGGGAAACTGCTGCCCTCTGCCTCCCACTCAGTGAGCTGTAAAAGGTTATGAAACAATCACCATCCTTGGAGATAGGAGCAGTAACAAAAGAAAGATGCATTCACAGATTAGCAGCAACAGCAATAAAAACAAGTATAGCTCATAGAGCTGGTCGGAAAGATTCTTGATCTCTCTGCTTGCTCCGTTTGTAGTCTGTAGTGCTACAGATGTAGAGCATTGTTCCCCTGGGAGGAGGAGTGTTTTCTGTCACTCAGCAGCTTCTCTCCGACTCTTTAGCTGATGGGGTTAGTGGGTGATTGTGATGGGTGTTTAAAGGATGGTGAAGCGGGAGGAAGAACATTGGAAGGTGCAGAGGGGCACACAAGGAGAATGGAGCAGTTGTACTGATAAAGGAGAAACAGCCCAGAATGATGATGTGGGAAAGTCTCGGGAACTCTTAAATGGACAAGCTGATATGTCTTGAATCAGATTTGGGACCACTTGGGCAGTCATCGTGAGTAGCTGTATTTAATGGTGTGAAGATTAGGAACTGAACTCTGGTGCCCTATGGCCTAGGCTCCCAGGCTAATTTCACAGATGACCTGGATAGTAATGTAGCAGCCTCATGGACATTGAGATCACAAGCTCTTTTCAGTTCCAAACTGAAGCATGACAAACAGCTTCACACTAATAGCTACCCGCCTTAAGAAAGGCAAGACTTCATTCAACAGGTGCTCAATAGGGCCACACGAACCCCATCATGTCCTACATTCCCATCTGCCATGCATATATTCCCACCACCGAAAATGATCTGCCCGGGTTTAACATCTCTAGCATCCCTCCACCACCCATTAATTCATTGGTTTCAAGTGCTACCAATAAAGCATTTCCCATGTTTAAAAATAGATAATCATTGTGGCCAACTCCTCATCCAGTCTGCTCAGTCTTAACCCCGTTACCTTGCGTGCAGTTTTACATAGCAGGCTGCTGTCACTGGAACACAAGAGTAATCCCTCTCTCTCTCTCTCTGCCGGATATGGCACACAAGCACTGCTCACAGCACCAGCCTAATCCCTTCACCTGTATACAGCAGACCCCCATCATTCACCTACAAGTGAACACATCCTCCCCAGTAAATGAGACTGGCACCTCATTCTAACAACGCACTGTGCTACTCTGAGGACAAAATTAACACCTGTAAAGAGAAGGCTAGTATCTATGAGCAATACTTAACTAATCCCATCACTATCAGGATGACAGCGTTCAAAATTAGTTACCTTTTCAAGGGCAGTTTGGCCCCATTGGGTACCCAGCTAACCTCTCTAACAACAGACTGTAATCAACAAGAATATAGATGCAAGGTACTTGATATGTCAAGCTGGCAGCACTGGGGGATCAACCTTATCCCCTCTTCTCTGCATATGACATTATTCAGGTTAAAGTAATCCTTTAATTCATTGAAGCTGACGTTTCCAGGAAAGACTCAGATCTTTTTCACAAGTATCAACAAACCAGACCTAGAACATTAAACTTTATTTATGCTAGACGAGACCTCCCTCCACACTGCACTCAGCAAAAGCAGAAAATCTAGGGTATTCCAATTTTGCAGAATTCTAAATGGAAGTTACTCAGCAAGGAAGACAAGAGGGCCTGTCCACACCTTTGAACACACACCACCCAAATGCACCATATTTAAGAAGTGTGCTACCTTGCCACTTGCCTTTAAAAAGAAAAATCTATAGCAGGGAACGTGTGGAGGAATACACCAGAGTTGGAGAAATCCTACCTGTGGGACAGACTGGCACTACTCATGGCACCTTCGCTAATCTATCAGATTTCCAAGAAGGGTTGACATCAATCTTCTCCCTCTGCATAAGACATCAACTTTTCTCTCTCTACATAGGAAATCACTCAGAGCACCACCAAAACATCCTCACACCCCTTTCACCTGAATGTTAAGCTAGCATCACTAAGGTGCTTGAACCAATTCCTTTTAGTACAGTATAGATTGGCATGACTCAAGGCAGTATGTCAAAGATCAGTATTCTTATTTCTGAACTAGTCTTCTCACAAGTAGTACTCAGTTATTAAAACCCTTACAGCTATTACTGAGACTTTAATGTACTGTCTAGCCGCCCAGCGTAGGGGGTCGGGGCTCACACCAGGACAGCAGAGATATATTTTGGAAAAACCGGAAACCTACACTTCGCTCAAGTGCTTCTGAGTTATAGCACCTTCTCAGAACAGAAGGAGGCCATAAAGCCCATCTCATCCTGTACTCTTGACTTAGAAGATTCATCCGCCTACCTAAAATCCATCAGCAGTTTGAATTGCATAAATTAACCTTCCCTTTGAATCCTAAACCCTACAGCATTGCTGCATGTAGCTGCATCTTCAGAGACAATTCCATCTCAGAGGTAGATGAAGCAATCCCAGTTTAGAGATTACACTGTATTTTGGGAATAGCAACACACACCTCCTTTATAGCTTGGTGGCTTTTATACTGAAAATGTACTGGTAAACGATTGTCCTGTCACAACAATTCCGGTAGCCAGTTTTAAATATTTTGAACAGACATTTCTCTACATAGTGAAGGCAAAGCTCCTGGATAAAAACCGTAGTACAAAGACGATGGATACCACAGCTAGGGAAATAAAGCTACACAAATACCTGAACCATTTATTAAACATATTACGCTTCTGGGTTTCAGTGTTTAATAGGCTACACACACAATCAGGGGAAAGGACCTTATAGGATCTCAAGAATCCACTGACATTCAGTGAGTTAATTATCTCAGTGTACAGGGTGCAGTTGTGTTACAAGTCTCACAGCTAACATCTTTTGGTGTTTTTCCAAACTGCGTTGTGTGACAGAGTGCTGGGCAACAGCAGCTGTACAGCACTCCGATCACTGGATCACCAGTTAAATCACCCCGAAGGAAACCTGGGGAGCAAAGCTGTGCCTAATTGATAGATTGGGGATGGGCAGGAGAGAGCTACAAGGCTAATGAATCCATCAGCCCAGAAAGTAGAAAACACACAGGAAGGATGTGCTCAGTGGGGAAGAGAGAGAGAGACTGAGAATGGTGGGCAGGCAGGCTTTTCAGGGTCAGAGGCAGAAACAGGAAAGCTCTTTCAGAAGGAAGATACTTTCTGTCTCCCCCCCTCCTTGGCTGAGAGAGCAAAGGATCATATGCTATTGTAAATACAGAGCTGCACAACTCTGGAAAGTTAGTTGGGAGAATACTGTAATACATTGCACAAGGTGTTTGACTAGAAGGTCTCCGAGCAGTTTGTGGCTACAGAAGAGACAGGAGCAGGACGGTGCCCTGTCACAGGTAGCACCTGCTGAAATACTCAGTAACTTTGGTGCGTTCAAAGGAAAGAAAAAACCCAAATAAGAGATTTTGTGAGATCCCAATAAAATGTATTTTGGGAATTTCACTGTTCGCAGATCAGGTACAGTGCAGAAGGCAGTGCCAGCTTCCACACACTGCTCTACCAGCATGCCTCAACCCTTCACTAAAGTGATCCCCTCTAGGGACAAAAGGGTTATTCAATCTCCATGGTCTAGATCAGCCTTCGGATTCAACTGGAACTCTGAACTAGAGCTATACACACAGATGGCCAGTTGGCAAACTGGACCACTCTCCGCTAGGAACTAAACAGACCACCCCTTCATTTTCCATAGATTAGACAGATATTGTACTGTGGTTACCGCTAACCTGGGCAGAATTCAAACCAGGGACCACCTTCTTTCTGTCCCAAACCTTACCAGCCTTCTGATTCAATTTTTCCATCCACATAAAACATTTTACTGGAAACAGCCTTCAGTGGAAAAGGAAGGAATGTCATAACATCTGGAAGTGTAGCTGAATGCTGCATCTTCCTCAACAACAGAGAGTACATGTCCCAGATTTAGATGAACCGAATACATAGGGAGCATGCCTCTTACTTGGTCATACACAGGCAACAAGATGCCCCCCTCTGCTTATCAGTGCACTAATCTAACCTTCTTCACTTAGGCATGGTAAGACCTCTATTTGTTGTTTTGTCTTACCTGCTGCAAAAGGCATTTTGTAGGGGTAGCTGTTCCGTCCTGTATGCACACTGCTAATCCTGCTCTCTGGCACGTGCATAACTCCACAAAGGCTGTAACTGTTAACAGCTGTTCCTTCTCCACAACAGTATGGAGAGTTACACCAGTGAAGTGGCTGGAAAGGAGTACCTGATGGTAAGGAAGTTGGAGATACCAAAAGCCCCTCACAAGTAGACTGCGAAAGCTCATCCTTAGGGTAAACCGAGCAGTGAGAGTAGCCACTGTATCCACTTTGGCCATAATAAACATAAAACCCGTTCAATGGAGTCAAATCTGAAGATTCACAGAGACATCCACAATCCGTGTGATTTCCTGGCACAGGCAAGGGATGGAACTGCTGCACGGGGAAGGAAGGCTGATGAAACTCCTGTTTGGGAGTAGGAGATTTCTCCCCAGGTCTCCCATACTCAGGCTTCATGGAAGCTTGCCCACCCATAAGCAAAGGCAGTCTGTGATAGAAACCATCTGTGCTATCGTAGGAACTAGATAATGGTTCATAATTGAGAGATTCCATTTTTCCATGGGGACTAGGGGAGTCCTGATGGTCTGCTTTCCTAAAAGCACTTGCAGGAAATCCTTGCCAGCCATGTGGACCCTCCATTTTTACATTGGACATTTCCTTTTTGGATTTGACACAATTCTTCCTATTGGCTTTGGCCCACTTGAGCCTCGACTTTGAACAGTGGTTCTCAGACTTGCCCTCTCCATCTGATTTACTCCTCGGCTTCAGAGGTTGGTCTTTTTCATGGGTCAGTTTCAAAAATGCTACAGCATTGAGACTGGCCAATCTCTTTGGGGTGGGATGATAGGGAATTCCACTATCCTCCCTCTTTGTTCCATCTTCAAAGACATCATCCAATGAATGGTCAGAGCTATTACATTTCTGACTGGATCCATTCTGACTCTTTTCCTTAACTGTTTTTACAGCTGGTTTTCCCAATGAGGGCCAGTTGCCACTAGCTTTGCAGTGCAAGCCCTTAGTGATACAATCTCCACTGGCTTTGACAGAGTCTTTCCGAAAACGCCTGCCAGATAATAAGCCATCATCCCGTTCAAACAGCAGGTTATTCACTGCCTCTGCATTCAGAGAGGCTAGTCTTCGTTTCCTGGGCTCCAAAGGAGCAGCACTGGGTTCCTGTTCTGTTCCAGGACAAGTTATTGTGCACTTTTCCCCAGATGGATCACTTTTCCCTGCTCCCAGAGTCTGAACTTGTTCTGGGAAACAGGGAGGTCTGAAGTCATCCATCCAACTGGAGAGGTCTCTTTTTGTGCCACTCTGGGTCTCTTTTGACAACGATCCAGCCACGTCCTCTAGTCTGGTGAGAAGCACTTTGCACGTTTTTTTGTCCACAGAAGTGATCAGACGTTTCCTTAATGGGTACGTCTTTCTGATCTCCTGCAAATTCCTGCTTTTGTTTACACCCATAAATCCACTCTGGCAGTTTTGAATATCAGTGGTCTCTCCTTGCTCACTGCACTCTGCCTCAGTCCTATCCATTCTTTCACCGTCTACTGGTGACAAATCTTGGCCAGCAGAACCAGATGGATGTTTTAGAAGGAAAAGTTGTTTCTTCCGGGCATGAGTCATAGGACCCGGTTTCACTCCTGTAAACAAACAGAAAAAAAAAGTCTATTAATATCATTGAAAGGGACCCATCTCCTCAAAATATACCAAATAGGAAATATTTGAGGATGCTGGTTACTATACAAAATATAGTATTTCTGGGTCATGGCCAGTTTAAACCAATCAGAAAACAGGATGTAATGAGATGTGGTTTAACATTAAACCACAAAATATGACAGTAATTAAATATGTGACTGATACTGAAAACCCAAGAAGCCAGGAAAAATCAGGATTAAAGCCAAAACTCCATCCTGCCCTATTATGCCTAAGTACTATTACAAGTATGTTACATGAAAGTCCAGTCCCCAGTTAAATGGACATGATTTTTAATAAGTCACAGATATTAATCAAACTAATTAAAGTTAATATAAACCCATGCCCAAGGTGTATGGTATAAATACATTCTAGGTATATTTTTGATTACTCGTGTGTTGTTACAAACAGGGCTATTGTCCAGGACAATTAGACAAAAGATAACAAGTTCACCTTACCAAGCCATGTGAAAGCTGAACTTTAAAGAAAGTCAAATGGACAGAGACAAACCAACTATAACACACAAACTTAGTAACAAATCTTTGTGCAGGTAAGAACGTGACTAAGTGCTATGCTTAACAATTAGTTTGACATTTTAATTGTTTTAAAGACCAGCCACAACCTTTAAGTAAGCCATCTGATCTGTAGATAGGCCTGCATAATAACTGAATCCCAAGAATATGATTTTGGAAAGAAAAAAACTTTTATTCCACTGAGTTAAGGTCTAACCTTTCATTCAGCTTTTGAGAGTCAAAAATGCTAAACATCAAAAACTGAGCTAACGCGTAACAAAAATATAAAAGGGGAAGTTATAAGCATCTGTCTGCAGAACAGGAACAGGTTCTTCTACCTGAATGGTTGAGTGAATGTATGATTGGTGTTTTCCTAGGATTTAAGTTCTAACTTTTTGCTAGCTTTGCATTTTAAAAATTATTTCTGAGTTGGGATTTTTTAGGATGGTTGAGACAACGTCTGTAGACTGACTCATTACCTCAGATGTCTCAAAATATCTATGGACTTGCCCACTGACTGGATATATTTTTGGATCCATGGTCTTTGAGTCCATAATTACTGAAATGGGGAAGGTTCTTAATTTGCATAAGGGTGACGCCAGTGACTTTAGAAGGAGATGCAATTATGATCTGCCACGGGACTCCTGAGGAGGGATTCCCAGTGGGAGGAACCAGCCATAGCACCATCCTCAAAAACTGGAGGACAGGAAGAAGCTAATACTTTTTACTTTAGTTTTGTTGGCCACCATGGCTTGCTTGCAATGGCTGTTGCAGTGGCTGCTACAGACCTTGGCTGCTGGCCTCTGGCCATGAGATGCCACCATGTCTGACCACATGGCCTGTGCTTCCTCCACCCTCCCAGGTGGCCACCAAGGGGTAGGAGTCCAGCAACATGCAACATCTAAGACTCGACATCTACAAGCAAGTAACTTCTACCCAATCAGCAAGTCCACCACTGTTAAAACCTGAGCCAACAAGAGCACCTACTAACTTTTCAACCACATGCCAGCTTTCTTAGGCTATCCACAAGTGTTGACACCCATCCTGCATATGTATCAGCCTTTTTGGTTTTGTTTTCTTTTCTAACTCTTTCTTAATGTTCTTCCACTTTTAACTCCAGCTGATCATAGAATCATAGACTTTAAGGTCAGAAGGGACTATTATGATCATCTAGTCTGACCTCCTGCACAACACAGGCCACGGAATCATAGAATCATAGAATATCAGGGTTAGAAGGGACCTCAGGAGGTCATCTAGTCCAACCCCCTGCTCAAAGTAGGACCATTCCCCAATTTTTGCCCCAGATCCCTAAATGGGCCCCTCAAGGATTGAACTCATAACCCTGGGTTTAGCAGGCCAATGCTTAAACCACTGGGCTATCCCTCCCCCCAAATCTCACCCACCAACTCCTGTAACAAACCCCTAACTTATGTCTAAGCTACCGAAGTCCTCAAATTGTGGTTTAAAGACTTCAAGGTACAGAGAATCCTCCAGCAAGTGACCCGTGCCCCACGCTGCAGAGGAAGGCGAAAAACCCCCAAGGCCTCTGCCAATCTGCCCTGGAGGAAAATTCCTTCCCGACCCCAAATATGGTGATCAGCTAATCCCTGAGCATGGGGGCAAGACTCATCAGCCAGACACCCAGGAAAGAATTCTCTGTAGTATCTCAGATCCCACCCCATCTAACATCTCATCACAGGCCACTGGGCATACCTGCCGCTAGTAGTCGAAGATCAATTAATTGCCAAAATTAGGCTATCCCATCAAATCATCTCCTCCATAAACTTATCAAGCTTTGACTTGAAGCCAGATAGATCTTTTGACCCACTCCTCCCTTTGGAAGGCTGTTCCAGAACTTCACTCCTCTGATGGTTAGAAACGTTCATCTAATTTCAAGACTAAACTTCCTGATGGCCAGTTTATATCCATTTGTTCTTGTGTCCACATTGGTATTGAGCTTAAATAATTCTTCTCCCTCCATGGTATTCATCCCTCTGATATATTTATAGAGAGCAATCATATCTCCTCTCAGCCTTCTTTTAGTTAGGCTAAACAAGCCAAGCTCATTGAGTCTCCTTTCATAAGACAGGTTTTCCATTCCTTGGATCATCTTAGTAGCCCTTCTCTGTACCTGTTCTAGTTTGCATTCATCCTTCTTAAACATGGGAGACCAGAACTGCGCACAATATTCCAGATGAGGTCTCGCCAGTGCCTTGTATGATGGTACTAACACCTCCTCATCTCTACTGGAAATACCTAGCCTGATGCATCCCAAGATAGCATTAGCTTTTTTCATGGCCATATCACATTGGCGGCTCATATTCATCCTGTGATCAACCAATACTCCAAGGTCCTTCTCCTCCTCTGTTACTTCCAAGTGATGCATCCCCAGTTCATACAGAAATTCTTGTTATTAATCCCTAAATGTATGACCTTGCACTTCTCACTATTAAAATTTCATCCTATTACTATTACTCCAGTTTACAAGGTCATCCAGATCTTCCTGTATGATATCCCGATCCTTCTCTGTATTGGCAATACCTCCCAGCTTTGTGTCATCTGCAAACTTTATTAGCACATTCCCGCTTTTTGTGCCAAGGTCAGTAATAAAAAGATTAAATAAGACTGGTCCCAAAACTGATCCCTGAGGAACTCCACTAGTAACCTCTTTCCAGTCTGACCTTTCAATGTGACCTGCTGTAGTCTCCCCTTTAACCAGTTCCTTATCCACCTTTCAATTTTCATATTGACCCCCATCTTTTCCAATTTAGCTAATAATTCTCCATGGGGAACCGTAACAAATGCCTTACTGAAATTGAGTTAAATTAGATCTACTGCGTTCCCTTTGTCTAAAAAATCTGCTACCTTCTCAAAGAAGGAGATCAGGTTGGTTTGACACAATCTACCTTTCGTAAAGCCATGTTGTATTTTGGCCCATTTACCATTGACCTCAATGGCTAGTAGTGAGCAGGCATGTGTATGGATAAAACCCACAGGATCTGAGAATTGCGCCAATAGAACAATTCTGCCAGTACCTGAAACAGCCACAGATTAACCAACTTTGCTGACTGAAAGATCACACAGTATTTCATGGGTTAGAAGTTGTATGCTTATTCCTGAGAAATCATGTTAGTTTCCCCTAAATTTGTCATTCAAATTTTAAAAATAACAAGCTATCATCTTGAATTGTATTGGAACATTTCATATAACCCTATGACTGAGGATGGGTGGTGTGCAAGATTGGCTATTACCTAACCACCATTAATTTTGGGAGAGCTCCCTTAACTGGCATCAAAGCTCAACATTAACTTGAAGCTGAGAGGGATTAGATCCTTCCTATATCAGCTATTTGGCTGAAACATAAATATACTGACTGACATTGAGATTGATAATGTCCTCTCTCATTTTGGGGGCTCTCAGTTATGCCTGCCCAAATTATTAGATAAAGCTGTTGATTTAATCTGGTTTAAATCAACCTGATGTATTTTTTTATATTATCTCACTTTTAATTTACTTATTTATATGTATTTTATTTGATTCTTTTGTTTAGTTAATAAAATATATAAATTAGAAACCTGTTTCGTTCAGATGTTTCTTTCAGACGTCAAAGTTCCAGATCTAACAAGTCCCAGGGTAAATAAGAAGTAACTCAGCCTCAGACCCCTCCTATACTGATGGTCCACAGAACTGTCTCATAGTCCTTCCATACTTGGTGCTGAAAGAGGAACACTGCTGACTTTTGAGGGAAAGTTGATTTATGTACTGATCACTTCTTTCAGTAAGAGATGTAGGTTTTAGAACTTTTGAGGGCCTCGGATGGTGAATACCAGCTTGTCAACCTACAGGCTGACCAATTCCCCTTATTTTCTCATACATCAGTGGTCAAATTTAACTTCAAAAACATCAAGAATAATCAGAAATAGGCAACAAGATCTTCTGTTCCTCTATTTAAAAGAAAAGAATTTTGTCATATTAAAGAAGAGTCTTTGACTTATCCACCAAACAGGTCCAGTAGTGGTAATGCAACCACCCTACACAAACCTGCCCTGGAGGAAGCCCTTCTATCAGACTGCATGGACAATTGATTTGTTTAGTATGGCTATTTCTGTGATCCTATTTCTTCTTGTTCCCATCAAAAGGGTAAGTCTCTGGCATAAGTGCTCTACAGAGAATTATCTCTAGGTTGTCCAGAGAGAGTCACTTGAACTCTGGACATCAGCTATCCCCTTCCTCTGCTAACTCCCACCATTCCTTTGTAGGACTTAAGTCTAATCCCCCTTGAACAGGTATTTTTTCCCAATATTTTATAAATAAAATTAATAAAACAGTCGTATTTTAATTACATCCAAGTCCAAAATGCCGGACTTAAATAGATGTTCAATTTTATTAATATCCCCCTCCTCTTTACCTTTTCTAGTGGCCAGTTACAACAAATT